AAGTGCTGAAATAAGAAGGCAGAGTGTCGCTCTGTTTGACCTCAGATGGGAACATTTGTTGGGTGACTCAAATTTTCTGCTTCTCTGCACATGTGTATGTCTGAGAATGACCAGGAAATCACTGTCTTGATTTGGGGTTACAAGTAAGTTTTAGAAAGTAGGCAAATTTGCAAATGTGGACTCCATGAATAATGAGAATTGACTGTACTATATTTTATCTATTCATCAGTTGATGGACATTGTGATTGTTTCTACATTTGGGCTATTATGAATAATGTTGCTATGAATACTTGTATACACGTCTCTGTGTAGATATATACGCCTTCATTTCTCTTTAGCAGATACCTAAGAGTAGGATTGCTAGGTCATATGGTAAGTTTATCTTTTTAAGAAACCACCAAACTTTTCTGAAGTGGTTGTACATTTTACACTCCCACCAGCAATGTCTCAGGGTCTGAGTTTCTCCATATCTTCACCAACACTTTTTATAGCCTACATTTTGATTATAGCCATTTTAGTGGGTGTGAAGTAGTATCTCACTGTGGTATTTATTTCATTTCCCTAATGACTAATGATTTGGGGCAACTTTTCACGTGCCTATTAGTCATTCATATATCTTTTATGGTGAAATGTTTATTAAAATATTTTGCTCATTTTAGGGGCTTCCCTGGTGGCGCAGTGGTTGAGAGTCCGCCTGCCGATGCAGGGGACATGGGTTCATGCCCCGGTCTGGGAAGATCCCACATGCTACGCAGCGGCTGGGCCTGTGAGCCATGGCCACTGAGCCTGCGCGTCTGGAGCCTGTGCTCCGCAACGGGAGAAGCCACAACAGTGAGAGGCCCACGTACCGCAAAAAAAAAAAATTTTAAAAATTAAAAAATATATATATTTTGCTCATTTTAAAATTGGATTGTCTTCTTATTGAGCTCTTTCTGTATTCTGGATACAAGTCCATTATCAGATATATAATTTGCAAATATTTTTTCTGGGGCTTGTCTTTTCATTTTCTTTTTTTTTAATTTATTTTTTATTGAAGTAGTGTTGAATTACTATGTTGTGTTAATTACTGCTGTACAGCAAAATGAATCAGTTATACATAAATATACATTCTTTTTCATATTCTTTTCCATTATGGTTTATCACACAATATTGAATATAGTTCCCTGTGCTATACAGTAGGACCTTGTTGTTTAACCATTCTATATATAGCAGTTTGCATCTGCTAATCCCAAACTCCCATTCCAACCCCCTCCCACCCCCACCCCCTTGGCAACCACCAGTCTATTCTCTATGTCCCTGATTCTGTTTCATAGATAGGTTTGTTTGTGTCATATTTTAGATTCCACATATAAGTGATATCATATGGTATTTGTCTTTCTCTTTCTGACTTACTTCACTTAGTATGATAATCTCTAGTTGCATCCATGTTGCTGCAAATGGCATTATTTTGTTCTTTTTTTATGGCTGAGTAGTATTCCATTTTATATATGTACCACATCTGCTTTAACCATTCATCTGTTGATAGACATTTAGGTTGTTTCCGTGTCTTGGCTATTGTATCTTTTCATTTTCTTAATGGTGTTTAATGAAGTACAAAAGTTTTAAATTTTGATTAAGTCTAGTTTTATCTTTTCTGGAATGTGATTTTGGTGTTGTAATTAGGAGCACTTTGTCTAACCCAAGGTCATGAGAATTTTCTCCTGAGAATTTTCTCCTAGAAGTTATAGTCTTTATCTACAATCCAATGATTTTAGGAGAATATTATGTTGGCCATTATTGAGCAAATTTTCCCCTAGATTATGACGTACCAGTCAAAATGTAGAATTTTAAATGTTCTTTTCAGGCATAATATTTTTTAAAATTTTGCTTATAAATATTTGTATGTTCCATTGTTTTGCTTTTCTCTGTAGGGGACTTCAGTTAAATATTTTGCCTATCTTCTATTATTTGTCATTTTCTCTATAATCCTTTTTTGATATTTGGATATTTATTCTTTTTTCTCATTACTAACCACTCTGTCCCTAACTGCTTTTTGGTTATGTTTAGTTTTCCTTGTGCTTTTTATAATTTAATCTTTATTTTTTGAAGTGGCTTTGTTTTTTCCTTGTTTTTCCTTTGACATCTATTGTTTTATGCTTCACCCCCTTCCATCATCTACCTGTCACCTTCTATTACCTGGCCATTTCTTTCCTGAGGTCTTTTACTTCTGCTGTGTGATTTTCCTTCTTAGATTCAATTGAAACGTTAAGTTTCAAAGTTCATGTTGGGATGCTGGATAATCTAATCATTTTCATTTTCTTTCTTTTTTTTTTTTTTTTTTTTGTGGTACATGGGCCTCTCACTTTTTTGGCCTCTCCCGTTGCGGAGCACAGGCTCCGGACGCGCAGGCTCAGCGGCCATGGCTCACGGACCCAGCCGCTCCGCGGCATGTGGGATCTTCCCGGACCGCGGCACGAACCCGTGTCTCCTGCATCGGCAGGCGGACTCTCAACCACTGCGCCACCAGGGAAGCCCCCATTTTCTTTTTCTTTAGGTCAACATTTTTCTGTTGAATTTCTTTGTCCTCAGGGACATTTTGTTGCCCCTTTCCATCATTTTCTTACAGTTTCATTGTGAGGACTTTTTAAAATTGTATTTGATTTTCTGAAAACATCTATTAGCTATAGATTCCTAAGGAGGGTAGAGGAGGGCAACTTCTAGATTTTGCAGTACCAAACAGGTTTGTCCCAAAAGATCTCCCTAATTAAGGTACATCTGAGCAGACCTGAAGGAAGTGAAGTGGCAAGCCAGAAATCCCAAGCATTCTAGGAGAGGGAAGAGCAAGTATGAAGACCCTGAAGAAGGAGAATACCTGACATGTTTGAAGAAGAGCTGAGGGCCAATCTGGCTGGAATGGAGTCTTTAAGGGGGAAAGTATAGAAGATGAAGTCAAGGTGCAGGCAAGGGAGAAGGAATATAGTTCCAATTAAGGCCTTTGTAGGAAGTGAAAGCATTTTGGCTTTTACTCTGAATAAAATGGGAAACCACTGGAATATTGCGGGCAGAGGAGCTGACAACCTGATTTAAATTCTAGAAGGATCGCTCTGACCACTCTGTTAAGAACTGACTGTAAGGGTGTAAGGGTGAGAGTAAGGAGACTGGTTAGGAGGCAACTGCAATGATTCAGGTGAGAAATGATGGAGGCCTGGATCACAGTTATAGGCAGTGGAAGTGGTGAGAAATGACTAGATTCAGAATATGCTTTGAAGGTATAAGTAACTGGATTTCCCCGAAGATTGGATATGGGACATAAGCAAAAGGAGGAGCTCAAGATGACTCCAAGGGTTTTGAACTGAGTAACTAGAAAATGCAGTTGTCATCAACTAAGTTGGGGGAAGACTGCTGGAGGACAAGGTTTGAGGGGCAACATCAGGAATTAGGTTTTGGAAATCAAGTTTGTATGCCTGTCATACATCGTAGTGGAGACTTCCAGTAGACAACTGATTATACATATAGTCTGGAATTCAAGGGAGAGGTTTGGACTAGTTATATATTTAGAAGTAATCAGTACCTTCATAATATTTAAAGCCATAATACTAAAATTAGATGAGTAACTTTAGTTACTCAATCTAGGGAGTTACTTTCCATTAAGATGTCTGAAGCCTGAGCCCTGGGACACAAATGTTTAGTAAGTCAGAAAGAAAAGGCACTAAAACATGAAATACAGATAGAACCTGAAACACCAGTGAGGACCCAGTGGAGAGCCCAAGAACCCATTCACAGAGCAGCCTCCTCTTCTACACTGCCATGAGACCCTGTACAATAAGAGGATAGTCTTTTGAGAAGGGGAAAGGTGGGGAAGGCTACCCTGAAAGACTAAGTATCCCTAAAGAGGCTGAACTGACTCTAAAAAGACTCTTTATAATGGAAAGAGACTAGGTTACATTTAATGACTGGCAAATTTGTGATTTTCCCCCTGCCATCAAAGGGAATGGGAGCATTAAGGCAAGTTACAGAAAATAGGGTGCTATATGTTTTAAACATTTAAGTATAGTATGCAAAATTTAGATTCTTCTATATTAATTGACTATGTGATCAAAGACATCCATATTCCTTAGGCCCTATGAATCTCTGACAGCCCTAGAAGATCTAATTTACTCACAGGCCTCAACAGCTTGAAGGGAGATGATGTTGTGCCTTCAACTGGCTATCACAATACAAACAGCTACCACGTACCGAGTACTTACTCTGTGGGTGAGCAGTTTAATACATTATGTTACCTGATGATCACCACAATTTTAGGAGATGAAGACTATTATTAATCCACATTTTAGAGATCAGGGAAAAGAAGCACAGACAAGTAACCTGACCAAAGCAGCAGAGTCATGATTAAAATCCCAGTCTGGTTACAGCACCTGGACTTTGCTTCACCGTATCATATTGCCTAGTCACATCACCTTGAAACCCAGGTTTAATCTACTCAAGACTCCAGGAATCTTGAGGGAAGGGGGGAGGGGCAAAATTAAGGTGACCCAACAGAGACCAACTGAGTCAAGAGGGTTGCAAGTCACATCTTCCACAAGTATAGAGGCACTGACAGACATATCTTGCTCAAATTCTGTCACTCCTACAATCAGTCCTCCTAAGAAGCAATGGGCAGTGGGACTAGTGGTCTATTTTGGGACTATTAACTAGCACAGAGGCTCTGAAAAGCTAATTAATCTCTCGGCAAATAAATGATTAGACCCCATGTAAGAATGTGCTCTCAAATCAGGGAAGGAAAGTAGGTCAAGCAGTCACTGATGACAAATTTTAGCTGGACAGTTTTAGATCTAGTAAGTGATTAATGTTGGCTCCTTTACACTTTGGTGAAATATCTGTGGCTCTTTCCCTCACATTCAATGTTAGTATAAAGGACAGATTTTAAAAGTTGCCCTAAAACAGGTTTTCCCCTCCTAGAACTCATTTGCCTTTGCACATTGTTTGATATCAGCATTTCATGTTAGGAGAAATCCACCTACCCTGGTTACAGAGGACTTGATTTAAGATGCTAGGTATCCTCAGGCTTTCTCTTCACCTAAAAAAAGAGGGACCATACCCCTTAGAACACATACAGCATTGCCTAAATCATAGGTGGGCAACTGTTTCCAAACACAGGCTACTTGAGAAGTTCCCTTAGTGTAGTTCACACAAATCCCAGGCAAACCATATTGTGTTCTGGGGTCACATGAAAAATGTTAACACAGTAAGTCTCCCATCTCATGGTAAACATACATGTTCTTTCAATCCGACTATTCCAGATGACAATAAAGACCCTATGGTTCAACTCTGGGTTCTACTTTGTATTTTTTTTTAAAGCTCCACCTTGCCCATCTTCACTAATCTCCATTTAACTCTTTACCATTGAAAAGACTTATGCCTGGTGAACTATATTATCATTTTGGGTGCTTTGCCCCAAAAGGTGAAGTAGTTTAAGTTTTTTACTAGTCCCCTCCATGGGTCTAACACCTATACTAGATATAGGTGAAAAATAGTAATCATTCTACTCGAAGTATCCAGCTCAAGACCTTATAAAAGTAGGTACTTAATAATTATTTAAAAGATAACTTCCTCCTCCCTTCCTGTCCCAGATGCTCTCTGCAGCCCATATCCATATCTATCTTTTCTGCATTCAATCAGTCCTCATTTTCTGACCACTCATTTTGGCACTTACTTAATATATATTATCCTTGAATGATACATAAATGCTTGATGTGCATGTCTTTCTTAAGAGTGTAAACTCTTTAAAGGATGAGATTTATGTCACCTATCTTCTAGTGCTAGACACATGAATAGTATATAAGAAATGCTCAGTGTTTTGCTTAGATTCTCCTGGCTACAAGAAACAAAGGCTACAGTTCCCTCAAGTAATGAGGGAGACTACTGAAAGAAAAACCAGACAAAGCGAAATAGCCCATAGGAAGAGCAGGGTCTGTAGTAGAATCAGGCTATAGGATATTTAGTATTCTACCACTGTAGAAAGTAGGACCGGGGTAAAGACCAAATACAAGCTGGGGTACTTAGGTTATTTCTCCCAGGCATACAGACTTGGGTCCCAATGATTCTAGCAGGAAAGCTGGTTTGAAGCTGATACGGTAAAGGATATGGAAACATAATGACAGTGGGAATGAGAGAGAATTCTCAAAAGAGAAGCTAGGAGTGAGACTGAGAAAAGCTGAGGTTAGTTTCCTTGACCATGGAATGCCTACCGGTTCATGGTTATAGACGCTCATGAGGTCTCGTTGCACTTAGTGCCCTTGCATTCAGTGAGACATCTACAGTCATCCCCTCAATTCCACCTCCTTTTTGACTCTAGCTGAAATGGGTTTCTCTTTCTTACAATAAAATGTAAAAATAAAATGTTTCTATAAACCAATTCCCTACTATAAAATGGTTCCTTATTAAGATCACAATACAGCATTAGTCTATTAAAGCACCCAAATTATTTCAACCCAACCATGATATTTATTAAAATTGGTTTTTACCTTTCATAACTGAAATCCCTCCTTTTAGGAACTATTGAGAAGAGAGAACATCACCTTCAGTGTACACACTGTAGCTTGCACTGTCTCTTCTGACCATGGAGGGGTTAGAGGAGGGAACGCGAAAGATGCAGACCACACCCAGCTTGAGAAAATTCGAAGTCATAGGGAGAGATGAGCCAGACAACCTTCACGGCTGAAAGAAGAAAGGGAGACCAAACTTAGCAATTGACAGAAAGGATAAGAGAGCATCTTTCAACAATTAAAGACTCTCTGTTGCAGGTCCAGGTTAGGAGACTTGGAGAGAATTGCAGAGCTGGAAACAGAACTAATGCCAAAGATGAACTTGAACTCATGACTAAAAAACGGGGAGTAAATAAGATGCAGTTTTTTACAGTTCACTGTGGCTGAGCATGGGGAAGAGATGCTAGGGAAGTCTGGTGGTATGGAGTCCCTGATTAGGATTATACAAATTAAAGATGGCTATATGAAAAATATGAAAGTGCAACCGGTTGACCCCAAAGACATCCTAGATATGCAATCCCTGACCCCAAAGTTTTACGGCATCAGGAAAAAGTTACCTTGGCAGAGTCCTTAAGAAACTTCAGGAAAACAAAGACAACAGTAGCTACTGATACTAGAAGAGTTGGTAGATAAACCAACCTGGCTCACTGAGACCCTTTAAGCAGAGAGACCGTTCTATGGCATGTCTGATGAAGTTTCGTACTCACCCAGGGAACTATGAGTGAGACTGAATTCTCTAATTGAAACTGGAAGGTTTCCAGGTACTATGCTGTCTTCTCTAAGGGTCTCTTAGGAGCCTGGGGCACTTAAGCAGAATGAAGACTGTGGCCACAACTGCCACTAGAGAAACAGGAAATTAGAAAGTCCATCAACAACAGGCCTTCTGAGAACTGATGGGTAAGGCCCAAGATGGCTGTTTCTACTAGCCAGAGAGAACTTTGTCTACTGTGGCAGAGACTATTATAGACTTCCAATAGTAGAACTATTAGCATGAACTGTGAAATTAATCTCAAATTAATCCACCTGTATCTCTGCTAGATCTCTAAATCACATGATAGGGGTTACAAAATATATTTGCACATTTTAAATCATTCTAGTTTATTCCCTCTCATCCTCATTCCCTTTCCCAAGGTCTAAAGCAGGGCAGCCATTTATGCTCTTAAAGGGCACAACTTCATGGTAATTTCAGTAATTATGACCTGAGTTTAAAGATGCTCTATTTGCTCTTACGTTTTTGCCTAATTGCTCACCACTATTTACCACTATTGGTTACTTTCTGCTCTCAAATGCCCTTACCTCTACAGTATAGTACAGGAACCTCATTTGTGCAATAAACATGTTCCTGAAAAACTGTAAGAGTTTTTGAAATGCAGTTTTATTTTCCCATAGTTCTGATGATATCAGAGATGTTTTATATTCATCTGTGATTGACCATCAGCCAGCAGTGACTTTCAACTTCAGTTTTAAGTTACTCCACTATAAACCAAGGAGTTCCTCATTTGTAAAAAAAATTTCAATGTTCTATGAACTTTGTTACTGCACAAAAAGGAAAGAACAAGTTCTTTCATGATGTGGATTATCCACTAATAATTTATCTTTTCTTTTTTCAGATTTAGAATTTAATATCTGGGGAGCTACTGTTAATGTCTTCATATTCATGGTACTGGGTGGCCCTGCCTCATCCCAACTTTTTTCCCATTCAACATTTTTCTTTTTAAAGTCAGGCTTACTGAAATATAATTTACATACAACAAAACTGCTCTTTTTAGTGTACAGTTCTATGAGTTTTGAAAGATGCACACATTATATAATCCACATCATACTTCAAGATATAGAAAAGTTCCATCACCCGCATAAAGCCCACTCAAGCCCCTTTGCAGTCAACCCCTCCCAATGCCTAGGCAACAACTGATCTGTTTTTTTCCCCTCTATAATTTTGGCTTTTCCAGAATGTCCTATAAATGGAAGCATCAATATGTACTTTTGAGTTTACATCTTTCACTTAGAATAATACATCTGAGATCATTTATGTTGTTGTATCAGTAGTTTGCTCCTTTTATTGCTGAGTAGATTCCACTGTATATATGTACCACAATTTGTTATCCATTCACCAATTAATGGGCACTTAGATTGTTTCCAGGTTTTGGCTATTAGAAAATGTGTGTCCAGGTTTTTTGTGAAGTTTTTATTTCTCTTGGGTAAATATCTAGGAGTGGGATTGCTGGGTCTTATGGCAAGTGTATATTTAACATTAAAAGAAACTGCTGAATTGTTTTCCTGTCTCTATCATTTTGTATTCCCACCAGTAATGTCTGGGAATTCCAGTTGCTTTACATCCTCAACAGCATTTGGAATTATTTTAACTACGTAGTGATACTTCATTGTGTTTTGATATGCATTTCCCTCATGACTAATGACACTGAGCACCATTTCTTGTGGTCATTCAATTATGCCGATGTTTAAAAAATTAGTTTACTTGCCTTTTTTATTGAGTTGTAGTTTTTCGTATAGTCTGTATACAGTCACTTATCAGATATGTTTTGCAGATATTTTCTCCTAGTCTGCTGCTTCATTTTCTTAACTATCATCCAAAGAAGTTTTTATAAATTAAAATTTTTTTTTCTTTTATGGATTGTGCTTTAGGTGTTGTAGCTAAGAAATTTTTTTGCCTAACCAGAGATGACAAAAATTTTCCAAGTTTTCTTCTAAACATTTTATAATTTTACATTTAAATTTATAATCTATTTTGAGTTATTTTGCATATGGTGCACAGTATGGGTTAACAGGCTGAAGTTTTTTTCTTCTTGCAAAATGATGTGCAACTTTCCAGCAACATTTGTTTCTTTTCACTATCTTTTGATAAGGTTCTGTTTAGCAGAGAATCTATGTAGAATCTACAAAAATAAAGGTAACCCTCTAGCTTTGGTGTGAAAATCAAATGGATGGAGATGGGAGGGCAGTTCCCAATTTCTGTGGCGAGAAATGGCTAAGCAGTATGCTTTCCACTCCATATACATGCATGGTATAAGACAGTCCAGAAAGAATTATCAATGCTCTCTAGCCAAACACCAGAAACACACCGGTGGCTGAACAAGCTAAGCTTACTACTCACTGCAGCAAGGGAGAACACACACTATGGGGAACCATGAGGCATCTCAATATGAGGGTGTTAGAAAGGACTTACATTAAGATTTGGGTTTGTTGGGTGATTTGCTCTAAATTGGATGCTGTCAGGAAGCAGGGGTAATTCTGTAATTGGGTACCTTAATAAATCTTTTTTTTAGAGGTTTTTTTTTTTTTTTGGCTGCATTGGGTCTTCGTTGCTACACACGGGCTGTCACTAGCTGCGGCAAGCAGGGCTACTCTTCGTTGCGGTGTGCGGTCTTCTCATTGCAGTGGCTTCTCTTGTTGTGAAGCACGGGCTCTAGGCACGCAGGCTTCAGTAGTTGTGGCTTGTGGGCTCTAGAGTGCAGGCTCAGTAGTTATGGTGCATGGGCTTAGCTGCGCCACAGCATGTGGGATCTTCCCAGACCAGGGCTCGAACCCGTGTCCCCTGCATTGGCAGGCGGATTCTTAACCCCTACGCCACCAAGGAAGTCCCCCTTAATAAATATTATATAGAAAAAGGGAAGGCTAGAATGAGGATAAAGCTGTAATTAGTAAAGAAGTAACAGCCCCTCATATAGTCTGATATTTCCAGTCTGTGTATTTCATTTGTTGGCTTAGATAAGGTTCATGTTTTTGTCTGTGTTCAGATATGATTATGGAGTAGTCTTATTTTTGTCCTGATCCATCACAATCATGAAATGGCCTTTTCTGATGCTGATGTTCTCTGAAACAGTTTATATTCAACAGAAGATACCAAAGCCTAGCTGTGCCAGGCCAGCTCCTAGCAACAGAAAGACCTAGCTGATAGCACCATTCCAGCTACTCGATGTCAGGGACTGCTTTTCTCTTTCTCAGAATATAGTGGTTAAGGCCCCAGAGTCAGAAAAAATTGTTTGATTCCAGGGTCTGCCTTCCACTAGCTGTGGGCCCTTGAGTAAATTATCTAACTTCTCTATGCCTCAGTTTCCTTATATGAATATGGGGATAATAATAGTACTTGCCTCATTGGATTATTGGAGTACATGTTAGAAACTTAACGTTAAATAAGTCTTAGTTATCATTATTATATCAAAGAAAAGATTAAGAAGGATTGGGGCAGAAAAAGGAAAACCAAAAATAGTCCAGGTAATGGTGCCAGTAAAGTCTGCCTAGCATTCATGCTGGAAAGGTCACATATTAAATGGTTTCTGTGATAACAAGAAAATAGAGTTGCTTCGCACCTCTTCACATGCTGGGTAAACACGACAAACCACAGATCCTGCTAACCATCCAAATCATAAGGTAACAAGATTATTTCATTTCTCCTTTAAGGTCTGGAAAACTGAAATATCTTGACAGTCTCAGAACAGTGGTCTAAGTGGATTTAAGCCGCTGCTTTGAAAAGTCGGTCATTAGGCTGGAACCACAGACTATATTTGGTCCACTCTATTTAAGACCTGGCTCAAAGGCAGCTTTCCTTGGTTAACATGTCCTTTTCTGGGTCTTGTCAATACATATCCTTCAGTTGCCCCTCCCTGATTATTTTGCATTCGAAGAAACACTTTGTAAGGTTATTTACACACATGAGGGTATGTTTTGTCTTGCTAACCGAATTGTGAAGGAAGATCTCACACCTACACAGGAATTGTTTACAGACCCCTTTCACACCCACCATCTCCTTTGATTCTCTCGAAAAACCTATGATGGACTTCCTGTCATCTTCGTTTTATACGTGTGCAAAGAGAGGCAGAGAAAAGTTAACAGATGCCTCACCTCACAAGGGGTTTAGGTCCAGACACTATCCTCTTACCGCTACACTCTTCTCAACACCTTCCAGAACGGCGAGCAGAGCCTCGGCCTAGGCGGGGAGACCTCAAGAGGCGCCGCGCCAGGCGGCAGATGGCGAGGGAGGCGCGCGAAGCCAGGTTTTCTAATTTCCAACTCACTTCTCTTTTCACTATAAACACCCACTCTCTTCAGCAAACTGCTAGCGCCTGGCGAACCCTCGGCACTGCGGTAAGCGGTGGGTGACGACGACGAACCGGAGTTCTTACTCTCAAGAAGCTCAATTCTAGGGCAGAGGAGATTTCAAATAATAATAATGGTAACAACAACAATAATAAATGAGTAATGTCTCTCAACAACAACAATAATAAGTAAGCACTGTCTCTCTTGTCACCCCTGTCACCTGGACAGTATACAGAGGCTCGTAGAGAGCCCCAAAGAGAAGGGCGGAGAGCAGGCCTAGCTCGTCACTCTCCTTAGGGGAAGCAGGTAAGGGAATGTCGAGGCCCCGGACGAAGAGCCTGAGAAACTGGCGACCGTCTCATCTTCCCTAGGGCGAAGGTTCGGAATTCGGAGCGACCGTTACTCGCGGCGTAACGGGAACTTCTGGAAGCCTCAGTCGTTACTGCTCGGTCCGCAGGGCAGCCGCCTACGGATTCTCGAGGCCCCGTGCCCCTCGCCCGATCTGATTGGACGGCGGGGAAAAGGGGCGGGAGGCCCAGGAGGAGGTGCGCACAGGCCGGCCCTGGGTTCTCGCGGTGCCACCAGGCAGGCGAAGGGGCGGGAGTTGGCCGGCGGGGCGGGAGGGATCCTGGCGCGTGCGCACGTCGGGAGGCGACAGGCTGGGGGTGGCTGGGAGGGCTGGGCAGTTCGAGAAACGGGTGGGCGTGTGCCGGATAGGAGCGGGAGGGGCTCGGGGTGCGCGTGCGCGTCGGAGCGCGAGTCGCGGGAGGAGGCGGGAGCGGAGGAGGCGGTGGAGGGGGGTGGGTCGCGTCCGGCGCCACGTACGCAGCCAGGAGGCACCGTCGCCAACCTTGTCTTCTGGCTCCACTGCCAGAGGAGGCGTCTACGGAGCCCGCAGTTACCCCAGGCTGTGCCCGCCGCTCAGGCCGCCTCAGCCCTCCTAGGTGCTGCCCGCTCCTCCGCCCGGCCCCGGCGCCGGCCCCCGACCCGGCGGTGAGTAAGTCGGGCCGGGAGGGTAGGGGGCGCCGTCCCGGCTTCTTCCTGCCCTCCTCTCTGTTGCCTTTTTCCGTTAGCTCTGTTAGCTCTTCTGCACCTTACCGTCTCCCTGCCCTGGCCTGGGTGCCCGGAGCGGGGCCTTTTTTTTTTTTGGCGGGGGGGGGGGGGGGGGGCTTAGGGGGGGGGGGGGGGGGGCTGGACGATGTTGGGGGCGGGTGGAGGTTCGCTGGCCGGGTTACCCCCTTTTACGTGTCTCTGACTCACCCGCCGTGGTTTGAGATTGGGGACCCTCCTTGGACGCTTCCGCCTGACTTCTTAGCTCCTGGGGTATCAGAGCGGGGAAATGGAGGTGGGAGGGCGCCAGCAGCCTGCGAGAGGAGAGGGATGCGGCAGAGGGGCTGCGTGCTGGGCTTCCCCGCCCCATTAACTCCTAACTTGTTGATAAACCACTCTCTTGGGTTCAAGTACACGATCCTTCAACAGTGGACCGTCTCAGTGTTCTTCCCAGGTAGCCCTACCCCCACACCTAACCTGAACTTGGAAGTGTAGCAGTGGAGAGAGGCGCTTACTGCGCCAGGGGGTGACTGGGGGACTGCTGGAGCACCCACCAGTGCCATCACTGCCTCCCGAGTCTAAATAAAAACCGTGCCTGCTATGCACACGCAGCCTCAAGACTGGTCCCCAGGCTCCCACTTAGGATTAGGTCCCCTCTCCTAAACAGATCGCCTCTTGTACGTTAGAAGACATAGGAATTCTGGAACCCTGTGGGAGTGGGGTTTGCTGGGTGTACAGCGTGGAGCGGAGGGAGGAGGTGCTGAGCTCAGTCCTAGCCAGGGCTCCTACAGGGTCATTTTCTGCCTCTCCTGCCACGTCACTCCCTCTGCTTAAAAAAAAAAAAAGAAAACTTGCTAGTGCCCAAAGGGATCAGTGGGGGGCAGGGGGGCTCCGGAAGGGGCCACCGGCAAAGGTTTAGAAACACCTAGAGAAGGAGGAGAGTTTATTTGATTTATTCTGCCCTTGTGAACTAATTCCAAATGGAAACACTTTATTTACTATCTGTGATTATTTGTTCTATACTGTTGTTTAACCTTTAAAACTTCCACTGGTTTGGGTGCTCTAAAGGGCTCCCCAGGAATATTGATATCACATCAACAGGTATATGTCTGCGTGTTATGTGTCCATGTCTGTTTTTTTAAAGAAAGAAGTAACTTTTAATAAACTCATGCATCCTATTTTGATTTTTTTCACTTTCATTTCTTTAGTCTTTGTTATAACATATGTACTAGAAAGCAAGCTCAGTAAAAATATGCCCTTACTTAGAGGAACATCGTTAGAAAAGTATAAGTAGTTCTTGTGTGTGGTTCGCTTTTTTTTTTCTTTTAAACTCCAGGAAAATCTTTACCTTTCTTTGTTTTAGTCATTGAGTAGTTGTTGTTTTGCTACTTCCTGAAGGTATCTTACTGGTTTATATATAAACACCCTCAGACTGTCTAACACAGTGTCTGACACATAGTAGGGACACAAATATCTGTTGAACTAATGAGGTATAATGTAGTGAAAATGACTGGTGTACTGGTTATTTGGTTTGATAGGTTATTGTAATTCTCCTTAATGTTTCATTTAATGGCAACACTTAAAAATTGCCATTTTGATACTGTCAGTTGTTACTTGTCACTAGGTGTAAGTTTTACTGACAGATTACTTTTTCTTTCCTGCCACATTCAGTGCATTTCTTGTAGTTCACTTGCTGTTGATTTAATGGGCAGGGGCCATTTTTAAAAGCAGCCTGTTCAGGATAGTTGGTTAACTAGAGAAGCCTAAAAACAGTAAGCTGGTGTTTTAATATGCGCAGTTTGTTGGTGTATGTGAGTTAAAGCTCTGTATAAATGTATTTTTTGAAGCTCCTTATAGTTATTTGGCAAAGAAGCTAAAGCATAGGAGTGAGGATGTGGCGAAGTTCCTATATATAAAATATGTAGAAAATTTTAGCTAATTCATTTATAGTCTTTTTCTTATAGGGAAATTGGCAGTTACTGTTTAATAAGAAATTTTTGAAGTGGCTTTGAAGGTAAACTGTTGTGCATTGTATTTTGTAGTTAGGCTTCATATACAATGTATTAGTGCTTCTTAACTTCCCTTGGTACACAGAGGGGTGTTGCCATAGGCACACTTGAGTACTGTTTTCAGATTTTCTTTTTATTATTAATGAAAACTTTATATATAAAATGTTACAGATATCCACAAACAACATTGATTCACCTGTTTTCCTTTAAAAAAAGGGTGGGTCCATTGTTTACTTATTTCTATTATTAGAAGAAATTACCCTCTAGGGAATAGTGTTGTTATAAATCCTTGCTCAATATATTTACCAGCTGGACAAGAATTATTTCTCCCTGGCCTAAAATGCTTAAAGGAACTGCTGATGAATTGCAGTCTATAGCAAAGAACTCTTTCACATTTCATAATTTCTTTACAAAAAAACATGACCAGTTTTTGTTGGTACTGTAATGGCTTGTTCACATGTCAGGACCAAATGGTAAAACTGATTTATGTCCATAGAGTAAGTTAAATTATTTGTCCTGATCTCAAGGCTGTTTTCTGTTTTTATTGCCTTCCTTAAGAAACTATGTTTTTTAATAGAAATTTCTGTGCATTATGAGTTCCTCCTATAGAGCAGACTTTTTTTTGTTTTTGAATGCAACTAAATTGATAAACGCTGGTAAAGTATATAACCACTGGATTGTAAACTCTGGCTTAGTGTAGTCCTCTGTGTGTTTAATCACACTGAAACCTTTAGTGCCCATCAGGGTGCCTGGCACATAGCAGGGACCCAAGTATATGTTGAGTTTAGGGCAGATGGTTTGCATAGAATTTAATAATGTTGTTTAAGGGTAACATTTTTAAATGGTCTTTTTGATACTTTTACTGTCAGTTGTTATTTGTATTTACGTGTGTGCTTTAAAATTTTACTAAGCAGATTATTTACCTCTTCCAGTTTTAGATTAGGGCCATATTTGTCTTCACAATTCCTAATTTAAGAGAAAAAAAATGTAATGATGATAATGAACAGCGTGGTAATATAAAAAGCATTTCTCCTAGTGATAAAGTGATAATATCCTAAAGAGGTAATATCACTAAAAATTTGGCACATATATGTATGTAGAGGTTGGGAAAGGTTTGTGTGAGTAAAAAGCATAGATGGCATTACAGATAGTTAAGGATTTTAGCAAAAATACCTTTATAAGGTAACTTGGTGTCTTATGATCAAATTAGGGATTCAGAAAAATATATTCCATATACTTAGAGCTTTTGCATAATTCTTATTACCCTAAGAGTTCTGTAGGAATTTGAATACTACATACTTGCTGTTAATACGAGTGATATACAAGAAACTTAAACATTAAAATATATGTATACAAAACAAAAATCAATCTCTGTGGCCTCTTAGGGCTTTCAAAGCCAATTTCTCCTGGTCTAGGTAGCCAGGCTTCTGGCCTACACAACTCCAGATTTTCTACTTTATTGATAATCCCGTTTGCAACTCTTGGTAACACTAGTAAACGTAACTGTGAATGTAATTTAAGAGCGGCATAAACTCAGGGGAGGTGGGAGCGTGGTTGGGCAGGGAAGAGAGAGCTGGTGAATCTGAGAGTATACCCTAAAGAGGCTCCAGGCAAGAACGAAATTTCTTGAAAGTCTAGTTGTCTTAAAAAATTCCCAAGCACTTTTCATTTAACTTTTTAATTAGTGTGTATTTAAAAGCAAAACTATTTTAAATTACTGTGTAGTAAAATTCGTGTCTCTCTTGTGGTTCTTGAAGCCCCAGGAATAGCACTGCCTATTCTTAAAGAAGTACATTTGAAGAGCATGAATCTAGCTTGAAGTTATCTTTTTTTTTTAAGCCAAAAATTTGGACCATCTATTGGTATGCATCTTATGATGCTTCAAGTTAATGTGGATACAGATGATATTTTTATCCCATTTATTACACAAATACTATGTGTCAGCTTACAACCAAAACATGTACTTAAGAAAAAAATGGTAAGAGTATAAATAAGATTTTCAAACTGTAAATCAGGGAAAAGAGCTGTAAGAGTGGAGGTCTTTGTGTGCTGTCAGGAGCTGGCTGGGGGAGGGTGGGGGAACATAACCGTGAATAAAACTGGGTGATCTTTTCTTCAAGTCAACATTTTGTGATTCAGGAACATTGTTTTTTAGGTGATCAACTTGATTTGAGGATAACAATACCTACAGTAACTAGGTAGATGAACTGTATCATCTTTAAAAATATCCTTTATGAGTATCACTGATTTCTAAGACTTAAAAATATGTATTGTTCTTTAATTACAAGATCAATACATGTTTATGGTAGAATATTAAAATGTAGATGTTAAGTATATATATTTCTCTCTATGTAGAAATACTATATATCTATTCCCCCCATATGTATAATTTCTACCCCCAGTGGCAATCT